AAAATATAAAGCGTCTGGAGAGTTTTGTGTTCTGTTGCAAAATAGCCTGTTATTCAAATAGCATCTTATACTGTACTTTTGCATTTGAACATGAGGGTGTGTGTTAGAAGGAGGGACCTATAGGTTATCTCATAGGAAGGGAACATTTGTCAATGCAATGTCTGTTCTTGCAATGCACCCTAAAAGCCACTTAAGATACTTCTTAAGAGTCTTTTTATTCACACAGTGAGGCTGGCCAAAACAAAAGCAAACTCTTTCCGTTCTTGCAAATGCATTTAATGAAAGCAGGAGAGGGAACCTCACTCAGTCTTGCAGTTTACGAGAAAACTCAAGGCTTCTGGATCCAGAATGAAACACAAAAATTTAACACATTGGAAGCATAGAGGGTACAGAAAAGGATTATAATGACAACTTTGGAACTAGTCTGTATAGGTGTGCATCAGCAATTTAACGTTCTGATGTGTAACCTGTATTGTGGATACATAAAGGTTCCCCTTGACATTTAGTCCAGTCGTGTCCGACCCTAGGGCGCGGTGCTCATCCCTGTTTCCAAGCCGTAGAGCCAGCGTTTGTCCAAAGTCAGTTTCCGTGGTCACGTGACCAGGGCGACTAGACATGGAACGCCATTACCTTCCCACTATGGTGCTATCTATTTATCTACTCGCATTTTTACATGCTTGCGAACTGCTAGGTTGGCAGGAGCTGGGACAAGCGATGGGGGCTCACTCCGTCACGTGGATTCTATTTTACGACTGCTGGTCTTCTGACCTTGCAGCACAGAGGCTTCTACTATTTAACCCGCAGCGCCACCACATCCACATATTGTGGATAAGAAGCAATTATTAGGATAGAATCTGGAAAGAAAGAGAGAGAGTATGGTTTCCTTTAGGAAAAGATGTCAGATGATCAAATGGGCACAGAATGTAGGACATAATATTGAACTGGACCAATGGGAACAAATTGGGAAAACAAATATATAATTAACTAAATCTGTTGTACAGTATTTAAAGAGAATATATACAAAATGTTCTACAGATGGTACACAACCCCCACAACTCTGGCTAAAATCAGCACTCAGATTTCAAATATATGTTGGAAATGTAAACAGGAAGAAGGAACATTTTATCACATGTGGTGGATGTGCAAAGATACCCAAAGATACGGGAGTAAAGTGAATCAGATGCTACAGGAGATATTAGAAACTCCAGTACCGATGGTACCAGAACTATTAAATATCTTGCCAGATATATTAGACTCTGAAAAATCATATCTAACTGTTCATATTATAACAGCAGCAAGAATAGTTTTTGCAAAACACTGGAAGCAACCTAGAACACCACAAATAGATGAAGTGATAGATAAAATACAGTGGTGCCCCGCATGGCGACGTTAATCCGTTCCGGATTAATCGTCGCTATGCAAAAACATCGCTAAACGGATTAAAAAAAACCATAGGAAGGCATTAAATTTCGTTTAATGCGTTCCTGCAGGGCCCCAAACTCACCGTTCAGCGAAGTTCCTCCATAGCGCCGCCATTTTCGCACCCTTGGTAATCAAGGGCAGGGCACGAAAATGGTTGTGGTGGCCATTTTTGGCGTCCGGTGGCCATTTTGGAACAGCTGATTAGCTGTTTAAAAAAACATTGCAATGCGAAGATCGGTAAGCGAAACACTTACTGATCATCGCAATGCGATGTTTTGCCATTGAAAACATCGCAATGCGATCGCATTAGCGATCTGAAAAAACAGATCACTATGCGGATTTGTTGTTAAACGGTGCACTCGTTAAGCGAGGCACCACTGTACTTGAAACGGCAGAAATGGACATAGAGTACTGTCAGATTGGCTAGATGCAAAAAAGAAAAAAGGCCATCGGAAAATTTGGTCGCAATTATATACATGGTTACAAGGTAAATGGAATAGTGGACTGATACATAGTTATCTATATGGCTGCAGAAGAGACAGAATAAACAATGGATAAAGACTATCAGCTACATAATCAATAATTAGAATAACAATATATCTGTCTGAACTTTTTTCCTCTTATGCACTGTCTATATTACTTTATGATATGTGGGACTATTTCTAGAAGAGAATGTATAGAATTACTAAGAAAAATATTGATTTGTAATGGGTCCGTTCAAATCCACCCGCTCCAAGGAAACCCTTATCCCAGCTGCCCCTTACCTTACCCTACCATTATAAGGAGAAAAATAAAATAAAAAATAAAATAAAAAATAAAAAAGGAAAAGATGTCAGATAAGGGTGCATTTTATCTCCCTATCTGTTTAATCTGTATGCATAATATATCATACAGAAAGCTGGACTAGACTTAGATGAAGGAGGATTGAACATTCAAGGAAGAAACATCAATAATTTGAGATATGCAGGTAACACCGTAGTCCTGGCAGAAAGCAGCAACAACTTGAAATGGCTTCTAATGAAAGTTAAAGAAGAAAGTGCCAAAGCAGGACTCCAGTTGAACATTAAGATGACAAAAAATCATGGCTACAGAAACATTGACCTTTGCTGTCATGTCAAAATGGGCTTATGCCAACTGTAATGAGACTTTCAAAGTAGGTGAGCTATTTAAGGAGTGGTTTTACCAGTTCCATACCCTCAGTCAGTTTCCATGGATGAGCGGGGGATTCGAACCCTGTTCTCCAGAATCCTAGTCTGTCTCTCTATTCACTACACTACACTAGGTATGCACACAAGGTTAATGTTGACCATGAAGAAACTAAAATTGTTAAGAAGTTTGTATGTAATAATAATCATACTATACTGTCAGATCAGTTCTGGCTTACGGTGGCCCATTGCAGGATTTTCCTGGCGTTAAGAAGTTTGTATGTAATAATAATCATATACTGTCAGATCATTTCTGGCTTACGTTGGCCCATTGCAGGATTTTCCTGGCAGAGAATACTCTGAAGTGCTTTACTCTTCGTTTTCTCTAGGGGGCATCTCGGGACTGTGCAGCTTGCCCAAGGCCACCCAGGCTGGCTCTTTCTTCCAGGAGGCACAGCTGGGAATCAAATTCCCAACTTCTGGCTTCGCAGCCAGATACCTGAACCACTGAGCTATCTAGCCAAGCTTTTGAATACCTGGGTTCACTCATCCACCCAAAGTAAGAGTTCAGCCAAGAAATCAGAAGAGGACCGAGACTTGGAAGGGCAGCCATGAAGACATTATAAAAGATCATCCGGACGAAGGCCAAGATCATCCACACCCTTGTATACTTGATCGTTATATATGGGTGTGAAGGTTGGCCAGTAAAGAAAGCTGGCAGGGGAAAAAAAAAAACAGCTTGTTGGAAATGTGGTGCTGAACAAGTGGGTCCCAGATCAAATCAAGCCCTGAACTTTCTCTGGAGGCCAAAATGATGAAACGGAGGCTGTCCTCCTTTGGGCACCTCCTGAGAAGCCAGGATTCTCTGGAAAAGACCATCAGGCTGAAAAGGGTGGATGGCAGCAGGAGAAGAGGAAGACCCAATACGGGTTGGATTGACTTCATCATGGAAACCACAGCCTTGAGTTTTCAAGAGCTGAGCATTTTGGGAGACCCCCCCATAGAGCGGACTTGGGGGCAGGCAACAATAACACGAGGTGCCACTCCATCTCCGTGGCTCAGAAAAACACCACCACCATGGCTTGTGAATTGCTGCATGAAGCTGCAAATAATAGCACAGAATAAAAGCCCTTTGGAAAGGTGGCAATGCGACACACTGACAAACAGCATCCAGTGGTTTTTAAAAGTTCAATATTGGAAAAGAAGGAAGCACCCCCGGTCCCAGAAAATACAGGACCTGAAACACGTTTGCATGAACAGGAGAAGGACAGATGCAGAAATACTGTAAATAAAATATTATTTTATTTGTGGTTATTTAAGGCTTTAAACGCTCCATCCCTTGGTCAAACGGAGCGGGGCAGAACAAGGCCAGCGCATGTTCGCACACGTTTGTAATGTTGGCATCCTGATCATCCTCCAAAAAGTTCAAGACCGTGTGCAGGGGTCTCTTAATTTTTCATCTTCACAACAGCCCTGCGAGGTAGTGATTTACACCTGTCCAGGAACCAGAAGTGGACAAAATGCCTGTAAAGTGTGTAATTTTTAGAGGCAAATCCTCCTCCTCCCCTTTTTCCATGAAATGGGTAGACTTTATGCTTTTAGCATCATGTTTCCCTCGCTGGAAATACTCGCTCCCTTAAAACTTTGGACGGCTACGGATTCACACGAACTCCTGTACAGCCTTTCGGGCTGAAATGAATGGCATCGACGGCTCGCCCCGCCATTGCCTTAAATTCAGGGCGTTATTTCCTTTTTTTTTCCTGGTGTCTTCAAAGCCACCTTGCAGAAAGGTCGCCTTCAGGGAGGCTGGGGGGAAAAAAGCGCTCCAAAGACTGCGCCCAGGCGACCGCAGTCCGTGGCTGCCCGCAAGTTTTGAACCCAGGTTTGCTCAATGCAAACGCACCCCGGATCACCGGATCCGTTCGCAAGCCGATCTTACGGATTCCGAGGCGTAAGACGCTGCAAGTGTACGGTGGGCGGCGCGAATTCAAAATAAAATGTAAGAAAATATATGTATGCAAAAGGAAGAGAATTGCAAATACTGTATATAAGCCGGCTTTGGAGTGTGTACATATTTGCAAATGGAATATATATATATACATTTGCAAATGGAAGAGAACAAAACTGGGAGGGAGATTCCGTAAAACATATGTAGTTTTTTTTTAATTGCAGAATAAACCTAGAGGGAAGCGGGGGGGGGGGGGAGAAGAAAAGTCCAAATCGCGTTCAGGATCCAGAAACTCCCCCTTTGCAACCAACTGGCGGGCAAACAAGGCTAAGGCAAAGCAACCCTCTTGCAAGCGGCCGCCCAAGTCCTTAAAAAAATTGACCAGAATCTTCCCTTCCCTTTTATTTCGGAGCAAGGAGGCGAGGTCTCAAGTCCATTCCACCGATTTCGGGTCCCGGTTTTCCTAAGCGCCTTAATCACGATAGGCACAAGCCTCGTCCAATAAAGCGCCGCAAAGCGTCAACCTTGTGTTCGCTCGCCTCCTCTGGCCAATGATCGTCGTCGGGCTTCCATATCCCGCCTTCCGTGCCGAAGACCGGCCCGGGCCCGGCGGCCATGTTGAGTGTGGCAAAAAGGCCCCCGCGCGTCGGAGGACGCCCTTCGCCCCTTCTGGAGCCTCGCTCCGAATCCGAAGCGCCGGGGATGGATGTTTAAGGGTACGGAGAAACGGAGTGGGTTGGTTCTGGTCGGTTTGGGGGCCCGCGTGCGTGGGGAAACCGAGCCATGTCCTCGTCCAAGGTCTCAGGCGCCATCTTGAGTGTGGCAGAGCCCGCTCGCCTCGCCTGCCCTTGTCGCTTCTGACGGCTATTCCCGGCACGGACTGGGGGGGGGCAATGAGCACGGTCCCTTTTTGCCCCCCCCCCGATACCCGCGGGGGTGGGATTGCGGGGGGGGCAGACTCCCATTTACTGCCCCTGCCCTCCAATGCAAAGTGCGGGGCATGTTGGAAACAGTTCAAGATCGCAAAGGGGGGGGGGTATTTGTTGATTCCTTAAAACCAAAGTCAAGTTTAAAATCTGGGTGTTTTGCTTTTTTTAAAGGAAAGCTCGTGTTTTTCCTTTGCCTTAAGCCTTTTTGCAAACGGGGGGAATTGCTTTCATCGAAGTCGCTTGGAAATATGCACATGGGGGGGGAAGAGGTCCTGGGGAGGGGCGCACCGATTGCAATGAAAATAGGAAATAAATAGAATATTCGCGTCGCTTGCAAAAAAAAAATCAAAACAACCGGGCTTGGAGATTTCTTTAAGGTATCTTCCTTCGGGGTGCGGGAGTCCAGGGTGGCGAGGGGCTCGGGTGGGCAACCACCACCCCCGTGCAGCGACGGCCACGCACTTTGCTCCCTTAAGTGCAATCGCAGGATATTTTTGGGGGGAGGGGGAGAATAAAGGACGAGTTGGCGAGAAACCCTGCTCGAATTTCCCGGTTTTCTTGCGCTGAAAATGGGAGAGGGAAATCGAAGCTCTCCTTTTTTTTCCAGCTCGCGAGCCCGCCCCCTCGGTTCGTCTTTNCCCGGTTTTCTTGCGCTGAAAATGGGAGAAGGAAACCGAAGCTCTCCTTTTTTTTTTCCAGCTCGCGAGTCCGCCCCCTCGGTTTGTCTTTCTTTTCCCGCTCCCTCGGGGTTTTTTTTTTGAGGTTCCCGCAAAAGGATGCGTGTACAAGCGAGACACGTGTCGCTGGGAGCAAAAAAAAAGGGGGCGACAGGGTGGCGGGAGGAGGGAAGAAGGGCAGCGGGGTTGGCTGGGATCCAACCGCCCGCCCGTCGAACCCCGACAAGGGAAAAGGGGCCATTCCCACGTGCGCTTCAAGGCGTCTTCGCGTTTCCTTCGTGGGAAAGCACCCCAGTGTGGGCGGCGGGGCGGGTTTACGCGGGAATCGGGGTGCGTGGGAAGAGAGAGAGGCGCGCAAATGCCTCCCCGCTCACTTTGTTCGCCGCCCCCGTTTCCTCGTGTCGGCGGGGCGGGCGCCCCGTTTTGCGACGTGGGGACTGCGCGCGCCCCCCCCCCTCGGCGGCTTTTGCACCTTTCCCAAGGTGGGGGGGGAGCGATCCGCGAAGTCGTTGCGGGACGGCCTCCCTTAAAAGCAGGTTCGGGCAGGTTGAGCCGGAGAGCCAGGAAGGGGGGGGGAAGAGGAAAGAAGGGAGTTAGGAACCGTTTCGGCTCAAGCGGCGTGCACACGGGTTGGAGGCGCCTGCTTTGCAACTCCCGAGTCGCTCTCGAGGGCTCAGAAACACGTCGGAACTCGGTCTTTTTCCTCTCCTCTCTCTCTTCTCCCCCCCCCCCTCCCCCGCTCTATTCCTTTTCG